GTCAGTGTGCTTGGATGGTATGTTTGGTTGCTGGTTGAAGACACGATGATATTTGCAAGCTCATGAGAAATCCGAGGCGAACCAGCTCGACCTTGGACAATCATTTCAAGCCTCTCTGCAAACAAATAAATAAATAAATAAATAAAAATCAAGTTCAGAAATCTGAATGCATGTTGGATTAGCAAAAGATACTCTCATGTTACCTCGTCCTAATTTTAGAAACCACTAGTAGGGGATGGTCTCAGGACTATAAATAGGTAGTGACATTCTCAGTCATTCTCGTTTTTCCTTTTTCACTCAGGGATGGCAAGATGTAGGTTGAACGAGGAAAATGCTTTCCCACTGAGGAACACGCATGCACATATGCACTTTTCACTTCATTTTCCCTAAGACTTTCTCCGAGACTAAACTTCACACACACAATTCACTAGTTTAAATGTTTTCTTTATTCATAGTCATTCTCCAGTAACACACCACAATAATTCTATTGCTTATGTTTTGTTAATACATACATTATCATTTCTTTGTACATACATATTGGTTCTTGTTGTTTCTTTACATTTCATTAAATGGACTCACATCTCGAGTCTGCCATATTTGTTGTGGTTATTTCAGGAGACAATGTGTTTTTTTCTCAATTCAGGCACCAGACTGCAACAATGCACTCCAAAAGCTAAGCAAAGTACAGGAGGTCCTCGACTTACAACAGAGTTCCATTCCTATGGTTTGTTATAATGAAATTTTCCGTGTAAGTCGGAACATACCTGCATTTTTCCATGAATAAACACTCATGTCACTCAGCTATGTTAATGCAATATTAAAGTAATAATTTAGGACACAACAACACATTTTTATAAGATAGGTGCCACACGAGTGTAGCATAAAATGAGAGTAGCCTAACAAACAATTTACCTAGACCATCGGCTATTCCTATATAAGATTATTTTTGGATAATCCAACAACTGGTTCACTAAGCTTTTACAATTTTAAGAATTGGTTCACGCAAACCTGTGTGAACTTGAAGGATGATACCCCTGCTTGTAGGGGAGTTATAACTCTGGGTAAATAATTATAAACACACTAAACATTTATATATACAAGGAGGTATCATAACAGTGGTACTAGAGAAAACTGGAGGTATCAGAACTGTGATATGAAAGAAAACTGAAGGTATGAGAACTGTGGTACTAGAGAAAACTGGAGGTATGAGAACTGTGGTACTAGAGAAAACTGGAGGTATGAGAACAGTGGTATGATAGAAAATTGGAGGTATCAGAACTGTGGTACTAGTGAAAACTGGCAGTATCAGAATTGTGGTATTAAACAAAACTGGATGAATCAGAACTGTGGTGTGAGATAAAATTGCAGAGAGAATAAGAAAAGAAGAAGTCTTAAAGATAATGGTAACAAAAAGAGCATGTATACTTAGAATCAGAATGAGGCAACTGAAATTTCTGGGACACATAATGAGGAAAGAGAGCTTGGAAAACTTGACACTCACAGGTCATACCGAGAGCAAGAGAAATGGAAGAATGCAGCAAACCACCTATCTGACAAGCTTGCATTAATGCATAGCAGAACAGTGGCTTGGTAAAGGGACAAATACTGCTAAGAGCTACAAGGAATAGGAGGTTGTGGAGAGACATGTCCTGAAGTCATAATTTGGGCTATTTTCTATGAATTTTGTTAGTTTATCTTTGTATTTGTTATGCTTTCTTGTGGCTGTGTGGTTAGAATATTAGTGTTCCAACTATGAAGCCAGGGTTTGACTCTCACCCTGGCCAATTTGTCAAGGTTTGGGATTCTTGAAAATACCAGCCTGGGGCAACAATTCCAGTATGCAGCTCTGTTGAGAAAATACTAAATATCACACCACAGCTTCAACCAAGGTTTTTAAATGAAATTGGATTGACAAAACTATACAGAAACCATTCATAGTTGTGCTGCTAGCATGAAGTCAGAAGTCACCGTGACTGAGGGGTTTAAGTGTACTGACTTTATTGATCACACCAGATTATGCACTCTCTCCCAGAAACTATAACTAAGGCCTGCTCAGCATAGTTGATTGACTCTCTTGTTTTTTGCTGTGTCTTGCCTTCAATCTGTCTTGTGAGTATCAGATTTTCCAAGCCCTCTTGCTTCATTATGTGCCCTAGAAATTTCAACTGTCTCTTCCTGATATGAAGTATAAGTTTCCTCTAAAACTTGTTCGGTCCATAGTATCCTCAGCATCCTTCTGTAGAACCACATTTATGTCACTTCAAGTCTCTTCTTTAGCTGCGGGAAGATTGTCCAATAGTAGACATTCACAAAATAAAGGTAGTACCCTGTTCGGTTAAAATTTAGTCATTTGGTGGTAAAACTGCGGTGACCTTTCTAGGGCGCAGACATGGATGATGGTATAGGGTTTTGCTTCAAGTCTCTTCTTCATCTGTGCGAAGATTATTCAGCATTCACTGCCATATAGGAGGACAAATATCACATAACAGTTTAGTATTCTTTTCTTTGTTGCTAACTAAATTTTCCTGTTTCTTAATAATCTGCTCAGCTTTTGGAAGTCATCTTTGGCAATTCCAATACGTCTTTAGATTTGAGTGTTGCACTTTATGTCACTGATTCTAAATGTGGGTGAAAATACTACGTTGAGGTGGTGTGTGGGGTTCTGTGAACTCTGTGAACTCTTAGTGGTTCAATTAGTGTTCAGAGACCATATGGGGTGGTGCTGTAATTTTAACAAGGTTATTACGTTAATAGCTGCTCACTCATATTCACGGATACCTGTCTACTAGGACAGCTAGCTAATCCCTATTGCAGACGCTTGCTCAGGTTTATACTGTAACTATGCTGAGCAGACCTTAGTTACAGTTTCTGGGAGAGAAGTGCGTTATCTAACATGATCAACAATCTGAACGAGACCTGCATCCTCAAACCCTTGGTCACAATAAATTGTGACTGTGCTAGCAGCCAAGGGTTCCATCTACCCAATTTCATTCACAAGGCTTGGGTCAACCTGTGGTATGATTTTCAGGAACTTTCCAAAGGTGCGACATGCTGGAATCGCCTCCTCCAGACCGATAACATCAAGCAGTCACCTTCCTAACAAATCAACCATGGGGAGATTTGAACCCTGGCCTCATGGTCAGAAATCCTAACCACTCAGCCACATGCCCATTATTTTTAAAAATTTTAACAGGGTAGTAAGATGATTTAATCAGTTGACCCTTGATAAGCCAAAAAACTTTATATATGCAACTGTTTATCTTTTTGCCTATATATTTATATCTTTAGATGAATTTAAAAAAAAGATTTAGCTGCATTTGTAATATGTGTTTGGAGCAAAAACATTCAAGCTAAATTCTGGCAGCTTCTGCGGTTTGACCTATTGATTGATTGACTGATTTGTTTTTTTTCTATGGCTTATCAGTTTGCTATAACACTTCCAAGAGAGGCAAAATTTGTCTACTTGGTTTTGACATATCCAGTTTGTAGTCTGCATCATGGGATGTCATTAACATGACGAACGACCCAAGATGCAATGAAAAGGAGCACTGGAGAAGAAAAGGTCTCATCATTTTACAGTTTGATGTTCCTGTCATATATTGAGATTTTTGATAAAATCTAAAGAACAATCTGCAATGTTATTAGTCCTGACCTGGCATCCAGTTTCAGTCAGTTTCCCCATTGCTGTAACGTAGCTTCTGTGTGCCTTTACTATAAATACTTTCATGGTAATTGTTTCCCCTATTGTTATTTTATTCCCCTACCTCCACAGACAATGAATTTTACATATGGGGACTAGTTAGGACTTTCATAGAAACAATGAGGTATTATGGTGAATGTAATAAGAAAGGTAAGTAATAATGTGCTGTTTTGATCTTAGGAATATTGTAGTATGTTTGGGTCAGTCTTTGTGGCTAGCTAAGTTTAAAATTAAGACAGACGAAGACCTCCCTTTTCCCTATTCCTCATTTTCGCCTTGTGCCACATTTTGTAATTAGTTACAAATAAATATCATTTTCCTCTATGTTTCAAATTACCCATATGGGAACTGGTTAGGACTTTGAGGTATTATGGTGGCTGTAGTAGGAATGGTAAGAATGTGTTGTTTTGGTGTAAGGAATATTGTGGTATGTTTGTGTCAGTAATTGTGGTTAGCTAAGTTTAAGATAAGACAGATTGAACACCAGCCTTCCTCTATCACCCACTTTTTGGCCTTGTGCCACATTTTTGTATTTTTCAAAATAAATATTACTCTTCTTTATATTACCAAGACATTATGAATTTTTAGCACAGTACTAGATTAGAAACAAGGTTTCATCATTTTGCAGTTGAATTGGCTAGATGTAGCCATAATTTCTTTGCTAACTGTTTCTTTTCTCGCACTTCTCACCTGTGGAACTCTCTTCTGGCTTCTTGCTTTCCAGCCAACTTTGATCTTCAAAAATTTAAATGAAACATCAATCATTATCTACTGTCTTCTTGATTCCAATTCTTTTATTGTTCTTGCACCTTAATAATGTTCTTTCTTATTCTTTCACACTAAGTTACCCATTATGTCTTAGTGGTTTTACTGCCTTGTTTGAGGTGAAATGATTTAAAAAAATATCTACACAGGTAAAATGGCAAACTTAGACCTTCATGCCCACAAAAAACCCCCAAAACACTGAGTGTCAAAAGAACAGTTTTTCCCTTGGCTTTTCTATTATTTGAACTAACTTCACTCTTTGGCAATATTTATTGTTTTAAAAAGCAATGGTTAGAATTTTAATAAACATGTGAACATGAATTTATACATTTTTGCTGTTCTTGGCAGTTGACAACAGAAATAATACACACTATTTTTTATGTTCTATATGTTTAGGGTTTATTACAATCATCGCTTTTTAAACAGTAAACATTTTTGAGAAGTGAAGGTAGTTAAAATAATGGTGGTGTCAAGGGAAAAACTGTCCTTTTAAAACTCATGAAAGTCCAAGTCTTTTTAGAAAACAATGAAAGGATTAACAAGAAAAAAACTTTTTTTTTTGGGATAGATTTTCCAAAATGAAAGAATTCCTACCTGGTTTAGCCATGCTGTTTCTGATGCCCTGAGGATCTTTCTTTTCCCATTTGGCAATTTCCTCTTCCATTTTAGGAATTTTAGCCGGATTAAGTGCCCACAGACAGCCTTTCCGTGAAGTGCCAGCCAGCTTAGGATTCTCCACTTTCTCAAAACATTTATTTAGGGATAAATTGTGTCGAACAGAATTCTGTCAAGAAAAGAGATTTAGTTGACATTTTTATTTGACATTTCCATTTGGTAAACATTTTCTCTAATGCATTTTTATTTTAACACATTTATGAAAATAATAAAATAAATAAAATCTAGAATATTTCTTCTACTCTATTCAATGTCTCAAATCTAAAATAATGATCACATATATATGAGTTTACTTATGCTGTAAAAATGACATGAAATTGATGTCTTGTTCAGTTCTACTTAATAAAAAGTTTTCACATGTAAATATATTTATTTCAATTATTGTATTAATATGCAGTAATTCTAGGGGGGGGATCAGTTTATTACTTGATAACAGTAGAAAACCGATCCCTCAGTTTAGGTCCAGTAGGATAATATCGGTTTGCCCATAATGATAAGTATGAAAGTAATATTTTCTAAAGTCCTTACTCTTATTAGTTTTTCCACATGCGAGTATTTAAATATATTTTTCCAATTACTGTATTAATATGTAGTAGTTCTAGGGAGATCAGTTTATTACATAATAACAATAGAAAACCAATCCCTCACTTTAGGTCCAGTAGCATAATACCTGCTTACCCATGATGGCAAATATGAAAGTGATATTTTCTAAAGTTTTTACAATTATTAGGCTTTTCATATATGTTGCTTTAAACATATTATTCCAGTTATTGTATTAATATATACTGTGGATCAGTTTATTACTTAATAACAATAGAAAACCAATCCTCACTTTAGGTCCAGTAGCATAATACCTGTTTACCCATGATGGCAAATATGAAAGTGATATTTTCTAAAGTTCTTACAATTATTAGGCTTTTCACATATGTCGCTTTAAACATATTATTCCAGTTATTGTATTAATATATACTGTGGATCAGTTTATTACTTAATAACAATAGAAAACCAATCCCTCACTTTAGGTCCAGTAGCATAATACCTGTTTACCCATGATGGCAAATATGAAAGTGATATTTTCTAAAGTTCTTACAATTATTAGGCTTTTCACATATGTCGCTTTAAACATATTATTCCAGTTATTGTATTAATATATACTGTGGATCAGTTTATTAGTTAATACAATAGAAAACCAATCCCTCACTTTATGTACTGTATAGAAACTTATATTCATACTATGTTGAAACACCAGTTCTTGTACGATCATTGAAGTTAAGCAAAATTGTAGCTGTTCTGTACCTAGATGGGTGACTGCTCTGGAATACAAGATGCTGTGAGCTTGGACGTGTGGATGGTAAAAAGTACAGTGGCTTGGAATTGTTAATTGGAGAGCCAAATTTCTAAAAGTATGAATCTACATTTCTTCCTCCAGATATGGGTTAATTATTAAGACTTGTATCTGTTGTGGAGTAGTTTTTACAGTGGAGGCTTGTATTTCTATAAGTTGTCCTAAATTAGGTTCGACGTACAAAACGTTAGGAACTTGGAAAATAAGAGTTAATGACGCAGCAATCTAGTTGTGATGGTTGGTACTTCAATGTCCGATATCATCTGACTCGCTCAGCACCATTGAGCTGAACTGGCAACTGCTACTACTACTTATTACTTATTATCTGTGGGAGAGTCCATTACAATAGAATAGGTAATATGGCATGACAGTATGACTAAACTATTAAAAGTTATTACATCTCAAATATTAAAATGATTAGTTTATAAAAGCTTGAGGGGCCCTAGGCTGTCACCTCTACTAGACTAAAGGATATTCCAGCCCTGGGCACTAGGCTGCAGCTTCTACTAACCTAAAGGATAATATGACTGTAAAGAATGGTCCAGCCTAATCATTGAAATTGCTGGTATCACATTCTGTGGTGGTACATGACACTAACAGCTCATCTTAATAATATAATATTTCACTTTCTGTATGCATATGTGTTATAGCATACCTATGGACAATAATGGGTATGTATCCATTCACATAAAGACAGTAGTAAATACTGTATGTTGGTCTGCACTTGGAGAATCATCTCAAGCTGTTTTGGTCAAACTCTCTGCCTCTGGGGAGAAAGGATCCCCAGTTGAGGCTATGTTGAAGGGCAGATTCTTATCTCGGGAAACAGCTACCCCACCCCGTTTTATATGGGGTCTACCGGGAATTTTTGACTGAGCTTATGGGCTTGGATAACCCACATTATATTCAGTCTTGTACCACATCTGACCATGTGGGGTGGTTGTTTGATATCCTGCAGTTGGAGATTCATTGTAGAATTCACCTGACTCACTTCTTGCAGTTGATTACTACTTCTACACGTGGCTGGTGAATCTTATATGTGTTGTTCTTGTCCTAAATATTATCATTCATTACCAATCTTTATGTGATTATTTTATTCAGTACCCTTCCCTAGGTTACAAGAATATGTCAAAAATCTATAGATTTTCTTACCTTCCATCCTCCGGGTGCATTCTTGAAATATGGGAAATTTTCTCTGAAGAAGATTTTAAAAAAATATTAAACTTTCTAGTGGTAGAAAAGTTTGCAGTGACATTAAGAAAAAAAATGTAACACATACACACACATAAAAAAAACAACAAATGAAATAAAAATAATTAAATTTTATTATCTTAAAAACTTTTTAAATAAAAAATAAAATAAGAAAAGAAATAATTAAAAAAATAAATAAATTGTTGTGTCTTAATTTTTTTCCATAATTGTGGTAATAATGATAATAAAATAACCATTTTCAACACTAAAGTTGAATAAGTCAACTAAAGCTTCATGAGCTACTTTTTTTGGCAATGCTTCATCTAATAAAAAAAAGAAGTTTTAAAAAAAGAAAGAAAAATGTTTAAAAAAAAACAAAGTTGTGGTAATAAAATAAGCACATCCCATCTCCCCTCTTGCTTGTAACCATCCATGATAATAAAATAAACGTTTTCAGCATTAAAGCTTCAGAAGCTTCTATTTTTCTTAATTTAGTTCCCCCCACCACCACCACAAGGTCAGGATGAGACACAAGGTCGGTTTAATGTGGGGAGCCCAAGTGCATACACTCAGGCTAGGATCAAAATTTGCCTGAGCCCACTCAACCATTGGTTGCACTGGCCTCGGTGTGAGCACCAATCCCTCTCTCTGGTGCAATGAGAGGGCACAACCTTGTGCAGCTGTTCCCCAGAGCTGCACACCTCTCAGTATAATTTTCCTCAGTTGAGACTCTGTCCTCTAATGAAGCTGCCTGTGAGTGCACCCTACCTAAAGACAGAGATGCAATCGAGAGATGATAAATAATCATGTAGAAAACTACTTAAGAATCCATCTCTTCTACCACACTGGGCTGTAAAGCCTTGGTTGGTAACCAGTCTAAAACAAAGAAAACTCTGAATTTAAACCAGTCTGGAGAGGGTTGGGCTCCATCAGGTTATCTTACTCAAGACATACCACTGCTGCTATATGATACCCCTACGGCCCTGATGGGTTACAGGTTGCATGATTGGACTTTTGACAGGTCAATATAAATCATAAAGAAAATAATCCTTCATCACAGACTATAGATTGGCACTACAAAATTACAAAAGGTTTTACAAAATAACAAGAGCAACAAATAAACAACAACAAATAAACAACAAACATAACTTAAACACACTCATTGACTTCATGTAAAAAAAATGAAGGCGAAAGTAAACACAAGTTAAAAATGAATAATAATGGTTGACAATGCTTCATCTAATGAAAAAGAAGTTTTAAAAAAAGAAAGAAAAATGTTTTAAAAAAAGAAAATTGTGATAAAAAATAAGCACATCCCATCTCCCCTCGTGCTTGTAACCATCCATGACAATAAAATAAACGTTTTCAGCATTAAAGCTTCATAACCTTCTACTTAGTTACTGCTGTATTACAATAAAAAAATATTAAAAATGAAATAAAAAATAATACAAAACATAAATTAAAATAATTTTACTTTTTTAAATCTAAAAATAAAATGAAAAAATTGGAAAAATTTAAACATTATTTTATATTCTATTTTTTAAAAACTAATAAAATTTAAAAGTAATTAAAATTATTTTTTTAAATAAAAATAATACAAAACATAGTTAAAACTTTTAAAATAAAGAAAATTTAAATACAAAAATAATTTTTTATTGTTTTAGCAAAAAAATTACATGAGAAAATTAAAAATGAAAATAAAGAATACAGAAAATTTAAACAAGTCTTATTTAAAATGATTTTTGTTAAAACAATTAATAACAAAATAAATAATATTTTTTTCATTTCTTAATTCATCAAAATGAAACTTAAAAATTGGAATATTTTTAAATTTAGATGATTTGAAAAAGAAAATGTTAATTCTCGTAGAGATTGTAGAATTATGATTTGCATTCCTATATGACCAAAATAATTTTAATGTTATATCCTCTCTATTTTTTTTATATTAACCCTTTAACGACTGCATTATTATAACATTGTTGCCTGGCTGTTCTGGCTCATTTTAGGAAAAATACAAAATTACCATTTGATTGGAAATAGGTGACTATAAAGATGTTGACAGCAATTTCTCATGGATGCCACCATTTTGGTTTTGATCAAGCACTCTGCAGTAGGGACGAAGCTAAATGACCCCACCCCATCCCAACACACAATATAATAAAAATATGTCACAAACAAGTCTTATTGTATGCTACTATGTGTCTATGCTGGTCTGAAAACAGCACTAAGTGCTAGTTAATTTATAAAACAAATGCTGTGAGCTGTGGTGGACCTTCATTTTTGGGGCCCAGAAGCTTAAATATATATGATGGCCCTTCGCAACCAACAACAATAGATTCTGGTAAGCTCAACAAACCCATTCAGCTGGGGGTTTGCATGCTGCAAGTCCTTTTGAAAATTTTGAAATTTAACCAATTATGGTGAAATTTTGAGGCCATATGAAATGGGTATCTGATCATTTTCTAAGGCCAACATTAGCAACTTCAACTTATTAGCTTATGATTCTATCACTAAAATGGACTTATTTATTAAAAAAAAAACACTTAAAAAAGAACCATCAATTTTGTTGAAAAATTTGCTTGTTAAAAAAGTTGCTTGGGTCCATCTGGGATTAAGCTACATTAGTTTTGTAGTAGAGCCACCAATAATGAGGTACCTTTCATGGTGTCTTGAAAATGTCTATGCATGTCAACAGCAGGTAATGTAAGTTGTATAAGTATATTTTGAAAACATATATATATATATGTATATATATATATATATAATGTAAAAGGCTCAAACACTAATATTCCATTGTTATAATTTATTATATTGAAATTGTAATCATGATCCAATTCATCAGACCTACAAATTCAAAATGAATTTTTTGAATTTGTAGGTCTGATGAATTGGATTGTGATTACAATTCCAGTGTAATAAATTATAACAATGAAATATTAGTGTTTGAGCCTTTTATATTATATTATTGCTCTTACCTGGACATTCAGCTCTACCTGGATTCTATCCTCTTGGAAATTTATATATATATATATATATATATATATTGACCACTAATATTATATATATATCTATATATGTGTGTGTAAAAATATATAGAAAATAGGAAAGGACTCGTTAGGTAAATAATCCAATGTTCTTTAGTATTTTTGTTATTATTTTTAAAAAATAGTGCTCGATACAAAAGTAGAGCCTAAATATAATTATTTATTTAAAAATATGATTCCAACATGCTACATAAGAACAGAGCTTAGTACTTTAATTCAATTTAATTCAAATAATTATATTGAAGATTTCGGCTCTTGTTTTGAAACATGAGAACTCTTATGTAGGGTTGGAATCATATTTTTAAATAAATAATTATATATATATATATATATATATATATATATATATATATATATATATAATGTGACAGTAGGTAATTTAAGTTTTGTAAAGATGTATAATTATGTCTACTTCAGCAGAAGTATTAATTCATTGATGATCCTGTTATTGACTATCAAGAATGAAATGCATAAAGACCTAACATTGTCTGCTGGTAAAAGAGAAAATGACTTTTGCTTTCAAAATTTCAAAATATATCTGTCTATATTTCTGAGGTGAGGTATTGTAACTATTTACACTATTTACGTTATTCAAACCGTTGTCCTCATCTTTATTGACAGATTCATGTTTCAGCTGTTGTACTCTCCTGCCTTCTTCAGGTGATATATGTTGGAATTTCATACCAAACACTTTATTTAGTCCACGGAGATAGATTGTTCTAATTGCCATGCCTTTTTGTATATCACAGTTTCAGTTACCTTTAGTAATTCAACTCTCAAATTTTTTTCCCACTGCTGTGGCCAAGTATTGAACTTGCAACTCTTTGGATTAAATCACTTTTTGGATTATCTTTTATCCACTGGGTCATGTGTCCTTGGGAACATCAGTGAGTGAATTTTTTTACCAGATCTCATATAATTTTTGTTATTGTTTTTCTCTAGCTCTTTGTATTACTTGTTCCGATATCATATATATTTTGTAAAGGTGTATAACTATATCTACAGCAGCAGAAGTGTTAATTCATTGATGATCCTATTAATGAATATAAAGAATAAAATAGAAAAAGACCAAAAAATGTATGCTGGTAAAAAAAAAAGAAAATTACTTTTTTTTTAAAAATTTTCAATTAGTAGTAAATAGAATATATTTTTTATTATAAAATTTATATTGACAATGGTCACTACAAGTGCATTGTGTATTGTTTAATGATAAAGAGAAAACACATTTAACATAATGTTGAAAATCTGACTTGCAGTTTCACAAAAATCACAATACTCTTTCAGGTGGCAAAAGCTACAGGTGGCACCAGGGGTGGCAGTACTGCCTTAACCACTGAAACTCTGTTACCTCCCCTGGTTGGCGGTGGACAAGGGCAGGGTATCACACATACTTTCACATGTTGTATGTAGAAAATTGTTAAGATCTATTCTGTGGACATTTTCAGATGCCCCGTGAATTTTATTTATTTATTTTTTTTAGTTGTTCTTTCGTCTTCCAATTTTCACACAAGTAATAACTCTTTCATTTTAATTGCATTTGATAAAGGTTTCCTTAAAGGAACATGGTAATGACCGGAATCAATACATTGAAGTTTTATTCTTTTATCAAAAATCCATACAACATCATTTTCAAAATCAAATACTGTAGTAGCCTCTTTCATTGCTTTCTTACTTAGGAACAACGGAATTTCTTAATCTATCACATCTAGATTCATTTCTATTTCTTTTTCAGATAATACACATTGTAGATTCCCATTAAACATAGATTTGATCTCAGATCCATTGCCAAAACTGAAAATGCTGTTACTTTTTCATGTTTTAATAAGTTTTCATGCATATTCTAAAAAGGTATCCAGGAAACATTTGTACCATACATATCCACAGATTGACGTCAAACAGCCAGAATCTGAAATAGTTGAACCAATAGTTTGACACAGTAGTGTGATCTTTCCATTGTCTA